GGGGCGGCCGGCGTCTCTCAGGACCCTCGGTCTCTGGTTTCCTGACGCCCAGACGCGGCGCCGGGTGGGCAGGCTCGGACTGCGGGACTCCAGCCTCGTCCCGGAGGCGACAGGGGCGCTTCCCTGCCCGGCGCTCTGGGCCCGGGCCCCCAGCCCCATCCGCTTCTCCGCTTCCCGGCTGCTGGGTCCGCTTCCCCCCTCCACTCCCGGGCTCACGGGGCTGGGCCCAGGTCACGTGTCGTCTCCGCCCGGCCGCTTCCCGCCGCGCGCGCCCCTTCTAAGCCCGAGCCGGCGGAGCCGGGGTTCGGAACGTCCACGCCACGGCCGTGCCCTGGACAGCGGCGCCCCGCCCCCGCCTGCAGACACCTGGCTGTCCCCGCCGGGCCGCCCGGCCTGCCTTTTCCCACCCTGGCGCGCTCATTCAGGCGGCAGACAGGTGTGACCTGTCCCTGTCCCGGCACCACCGGGCCCGGCTGCGGCGGGAAGCTGCTGCCCCCAGGCGGTAGTTGCACTGCGGCCCCAAGCATCCGCCGTCTTGCTAGTGCTCCGAAATAAACTAGCCGCGTTTCCCCCTCGCGTTCCCGCAGCTCGCGTCTGTTGTAACTGGGCCGACCTCTCTGTTTCAGGTTTGGAGCCCCCGCGTACAGACAGTTCAGCAGTGGTGGTGCCTACCCCAACATCCCCCTCTCCGCTCCCTTACCTGGAGTGCCCACGCCCGTTTTTGCCACCGTCGACGGACAGGAAAAGTTTGAGACCAGAATTACTACTCTGGATAATGGGCTTCGAGTGGCATCCCAAAATAAGTTTGGACAGTTTTGTACCGTAGGAAGTAAGTACTGTTGGTGGTGGTGTGGGTGCATCATTTACGAATTGTATCCTTAGTGAAAAAGCACGGTGTGAAGTCTGAAGACTTAGTAACTCAGTGTGAACGGTGGCCTTTTGATGCCTTTTTCCCGCTTTTTCTACTTTTCTGTAACTAAAAACCTTTGATGACCACAAACATAAAGTAAGCAGTTCCATAAACGTTGACTTATGTATGTAGCCGTGAAGCCATTGTAGCTACGTAAGTAATGAACATACTCCTCGCCCTGGTGTAATTAGATCTGCCTATTTATTTAGTTATATTCACAGTTTTAATTTTAAAGGTTTCTTTTGAGTAAATTTTTGTCTTTTGAACGTTGATTTAACCTGTTAATTTTTTTTTTATTGTAGTTCTTATTAATTCAGGATCAAGATATGAAGCAAAATATCTTAGTGGAATTGCTCACTTTTTGGAAAAGTTGGCATTTTCGGTCAGTGTTCAATTTGTGAGTTTTGAGAATATAATTGGGAAGAACTATATAGCTTTGCCTTTCAAGAATGGTTATTATAATAAGTGATTAAGTTGCCCAGTTAATGCTAATAAAAGATAATTTGATTTCATGTGTTTTGAAAGCAAAAGTAAATTTTTTTTCCTAAAAATTGTGTTTTAGGGGTTGTTTTGGATTGCTAAAACCTAAATAGGTTTTTTACTTGTTTTTACTAGTCCACAGACCGCTTTGACAGCAAAGATGGAATTCTGCTTACTTTGGAAAAGCATGGGGGTATTTGTGACTGCCAGACGTCAAGGTACACCAGCTTTTACATACAAGCTTATTTTGTGTCCATGTGGAACTGTTCTCATTCTTGGTCAGAGTCCCACTGAGGTCCCTCATCAGAGAGGCTGTGGAGGTCAACAGTGAGAAGTGAGCCCTAGCTGGGGCAGAGTTGGGTGGGCAAAACACACACTCATATAGAGGAAAACTTTTCGAGGGCCAAGCAGTCCCCAGAAGGCTGCTTACCCTGTGATTTGAGCCAGGCAGTAGCCGGGCACTGGGGACACAAGAATAGACCCTGTCCCCAAGATGCTCACAGATCGGACAGACGGCCATGTCACAGGTAATGGACACAAGAGCCAGGACCAAGGGTGGTGGGGACGAGCAACTAACTTGGTCTGGAGTCAGGGAAGGACTGACTGAAAACTTGCCATTGGTGCTGGCTCTCGAAGAACTTTACCAAACAGAACAAAGGGAGGAGGCTCCGACCCTGGGAACAGCAGATGCAAAGGCTCAGCCTAGAAGATCAGGGGTCTGCTTGGGGATGGGGAGAGGTCCCCTATGTAGCTGCAGCTCACTCAGGTTGGTGTGGATGCTGTGGACAAGGCCAGGTAGCATTTGTCTCGGGTATGGAGCACGTTCAGAAAGCTCTGTTTAGGGCAATATGAGATGGATAGACAAAGGTCACTTTTTTTTTCAATTCTCACTCAATATTTTTTTCCATTGATTTTTAGAGAGAGTGGGAGAGAGGGAGAAAGGGAAGGTGAGAGAGGAACATTGATGTGAGGGAGACACATTGATTGGTTGCCTCCTGTGTGCACCCCGACTGGGGCTGTGAATCGAACCTGCAACCAAGGTACGTGCCATTGACTGGGAATCAAACCTGGGACCCTTCAGTCCACAGGCTGATGCTCTAACCATGGAGCCAAACTGGCCAGGGCAGATCATCTTTACATGTAAAAGATGGGTTAAATGCAGTCCCGGCCTATGTGGCTCCATGGTTAGAGCATCAGCCTGCACACTGAAGGGTTGCGGGTTTGATTCCCGGTTAAGGGCACATACCTGGGTTTGCAAGTTCAATCCCCGGCCCTGGTTGGGGTGCATGCAGGAGGCAACCAGCCGATGTGTCTCTCTCACATTGATGTTTCTCTCTCTCCCCCTCCCTTTCACTCTGTAAAAAATCCTCAGGTGTGAGGATTAACAATACAAAGAAATGATGGGTTAAATGCCAAGAATTAGTGAGCATGGAGACAGTATATTCATATTTCCAAAAAAGGTCTATTCAGAAACCTCTGGCTCCCAGCTGTCCATCAGTGAAGTTCAGACTCATTGCCTAGTGTTACATCCTCCATGGTTTTTTTGTTTGTTTTGTCTTTTTTTTTAATCCTCACCTGAGGATATTTTTTCCATTGCTTTTTCAGAGAGTGGAAGGGGGGGGGGAGAGAGAGAAGAAACACTGACGTGAGAAACATCGATTGGCTGCCTCCCACACATGTGCAGACCAAGGCTGAGCCTGCAGCCGAGGTACGTGCACTTAGCTGGAATCGAACCCAGGATCCTTCAGTCTAAGGGCTGACACTAACCGCTGACCAAAACCGGCCATGGCAGATCCTCCATGTTTTTGCCTCAAATCTCTTTGACTTTTGGTCAAGCAAGCCAGTGTCCTGACGTGGACATGCCCACTCATTCTCAGCTCAGGTTTTTTCCTGCTGTTGTCCCATGTGGTTCTGCAGCCCCACTGAGAACAGCGCCTCCCCTGCAAAGGCACCAGTGGCCATGTCCCTCCTCATGAGCTCTCTCTCGTCCGCATGGCAACTGTGTCTACAGGTCTCCCCGTTGACTATGCTTCATCTTACGGTTCTATGGTTGGCATGCCTGTGCCTTTCCTGGTTGACTCAGTGTGCCCATCTGACCACAGTGCCTCATGCTGTGAGCTAATGGTACCACCAGTCTTTGTCCCTCAGCCATCTAGGGCAGGCATGTTCCCACACTGACCAATTAGTTCATGTAGGAGAGACAGACCACGGAATGAAGTGTTTCAGCATGGCGCAGCCTGTGCTTGAGAAAACCCCTCAGAGCTGGACAGTGTCTTACTCAGCATGCAGCCTGTGTGCTGCTGTAGTTTCTGCCTGCTAGGAGTTTACCTCAGAGATGGGAATAGGGAAAAGCCCTGAGTGTGTGCTGAGTGTGTGCTTATCATGACTTCAGTGCCAGTGTTGTTTTTTTCCAGAGACACCACCATGTATGCTGTGTCTGCTGATTCTAAAGGCCTGGATACGGTGGTTGGCTTGCTGGCTGATGTGGTCCTGCACCCCAGGCTCACAGGTGTGTGTCTTGGCTGCTTGAGGGGCCAATGGGAGTGGAACACTGGGAGGTGTGTGGGAGCAGTGCCCATGGGGATAAGCGCTGTTGTTGGAGACCTCAGCTCACCTGCCCGTGAGTTGTGTTTAAACATCCCAAATGACCTGTCCCTATCCATTCCCTTCCTTGGCCTTGCAAATGGCAGGACTCTGAGTTTTCTGCTAGGAGGGGCAGGAGTGGGCCATGCTGCTGTCGCAGCTGGTCTGACTGCTGCATTTCATACAGCCTGTCCAGTCCGGGGCTGCAGTTTCGCGTTCACGTCTTTCTGGTACTTGCTGTAGTTAGCTGACACTAGTCTGTGCCTGTGTTTCCTTAGCACTGTCACGCCCATTGTCATCGCATCCTCACACAATATTGGGGTAGGTTCAGGGTCAGTGCCTCTAGGGGAGGAAACCCAGGCTCACAGCAGACCAAGTGGATGTCCAGGGGTGCTCTTCCCCTCACTCATACGTGTTGTGTCCCCCAGCCTGCCCCAGACAAAGGCAGAGGAGACTGCCAACATCCATCACCAAGGACTCTTGGCCTGCCTCTGCTGGCCTGTGTGGTCTGAGCCCTGTCTTTGTGTCCTTTGCAGAGGAAGAAATTGAGATGGCTCGAATGGCTGTCCAATTTGAGCTGGAGGACCTCAATATGCGGCCTGACCCGGAACCACTTCTCACCGAGATGATTCACGAGGTGAAGGATAGCTCACTGAGGCTGCTGCACCTCTGTGCCTGTGACCCTTGGACCAGGGCAGTGGGGAGGGATGTTGGCATGCCTGATGTCCTCGTAGGGTACAGGTGTTGGCAGAACATTCTTTATTTCTGAACCTGTTGTCTGTGCAAGTTTTAAACTTTTCAGTTCTTAAGAAGATCTTTTCTACTTCATCTCTAGAATGAGCCTTCTGTTTTACTATTTGATGACTTTCCATTTTGGAGAGGTAGATCTCACTTCTAGTAAACAAATGAGGCCGCGATTGCCCGACTGTCACTAAATGGAGCAGCTGGTGGGCTTCCCGAGGCCAGCTGGGGTGGCAGCAGCCCAGCTCGCTCAGGGAAAGCTGGTGTGTTCTCCATGTCACTTGTGCTTCTCTTGCTTCCATTGTCAGGCTGCTTACAGGGAAAACACAGTTGGCCTCCACCGTTTCTGCCCTACAGAAAACATAGCAAAGATTGACCGAGAAGTGCTCCATTCCTACCTGAGAAACTACTACACCCCTGACCGCATGGTGCTGGCAGGGGTGGGGATCGAGCATGACCACCTGGTGGAATGTGCCAGAAAGTACCTCCTGGGCACCCAGCCGGCCTGGGGAAGCCAGGCAGCTGTGGACGTTGACCGATCGGTAGCACAGTACACCGGAGGGGTTGTCAAGGTAAAATGGGACAGAGGATATGTGACCTTGAGTCATAGACACACTTTATGACCTCAGGTTTTGGTTAATTTTTACTTGTTGTGAAGGCATTATAATGAACTGCATTCGTGGCTTTGCCTTGAACACATTCTGGTCTCAGTAAGACACATGTTCTCTCTCCAAAGCTGAGGGATTGTTAGGAAGGTGTTTAGCTTCAGGGCAGGATGAGGGTAGGTCTCACCCAAGGCGTTGGTGAGGCCTGGTTCACTGTTCATTCTTTCTGGTTACAGCTAGAAAGAGACATGTCCAAGGTCAGCCTGGGCCCTGCTCCGTTCCCTGAGCTCACTCACATCATGATAGGGCTGGAGAGCTGCTCCTTCTTGGTAAGTCCCCCTAGTCCCCACTGTGCACCCCCAGCCCTGGCTTGGCCCCTTGGCCAAGCTGTCCTGTCCCTGCAGGAGGCAGACTTCATTCCCTTCGCTGTGCTGAACATGATGATGGGTGGCGGCGGCTCCTTCTCGGCCGGCGGGCCCGGCAAGGGCATGTTCACCAGGCTCTACCTCAACGTGCTCAACAGGTGGGTGATGCCTGCCACCTTGTCCCCAGGGCCACAGGCCTAGCTGATGGGGCATTGAACCGTGACACCACCTTCCAAGTGTCTCTCCGTGTCCCACAGGCACCACTGGATGTACAACGCGACCGCCTACCACCACAGCTACGAGGACACAGGCCTCTTGTGCATCCATGCCAGCGCTGACCCCAGACAGGTGAGGCTGGTTCCTCTCAGTTGCCTCTCAGATGAAGCTCCTCTTGGCGGAACTGCATAAACAGCTCACACTTTCACCTTATGCCTCCTTCACAGGTTCGAGAAATGGTGGAGATCATCACAAAGGAGTTCATTTTAATGGGCGGAACCGTGGACGTGGTAAGTATAGCAGGGTGCCATTTCCCACATCCCTATAGCGCTGGGCAGGGTGTTCTATGTCCTCAACATCGGTGGCCCAGCCAAAACAGTACAGCCCACCAGGTGACCCTGCCTGTGTCTGAACTTGTCCCCATGGGGAGCCCTCCCTGGTATTTACCAGGCACCTTGTGTCCTGTGGCTGCCTGGTGTCCTTTTTAGCTCTGCTGAAGGAAATTACAGACAAGTCTGGGTCCTTCTCAGCCACCCCGCAGAGCAGTGTGAGTTAGAGCAGCATCAGACATAATGAGCGGCCCCTCAGGGAGCTCTAGCTTTTTAGTTTCTCGGTTTCTAGCTCAGTTTTCGGTACCTTACATGTTCAGAAGTCTTGTTACTTTCTGGGTCAGAACCGGTACAAATAGCAGATTTTACACACACGTATATGCATGCATGTGTACACACACACGTGCACAGAGTACCAGATAAGCCTAGCATGCAAGCCCTGTACCTCTGGGGGTTGGTGCACGTGCTTCACCCCCAAATCATATTTTCTGCACGTTCCATGTTTTCTGTAATAGTCACTTAGTTCCTTTCTAAGCAGAAAAAAGAAGCATTATTTAAAAATAGTGTGTTTAAAAGTCACCGGTGGTTCCATGCGTGTCCTGCTGGAAAAGCAGTGCTTCCCACCGATGTGAGGTCAGTTTGAGATAAACTTTAAGTATTTGCCTGAAGTTGCAAAAATAAAAACGACCGACCTAAATTAGGAGTTATTTTACTTTAAAAATGACACAAATTCAATAGCCAGTCTGTCCGGTGTTTGTTCTTCGAAATCTGTTGGGTCCCAGAGCCATCAGGTTACCTTTCTCACAGCTGCTTCTGTCCTTGCATCCTGGGCCGGGCTTCATGAACCGACTTGGCTGGGCTGAGTTGTGCGTTTCACATGCAGTCAGAAGGAGCCGGTTTCCCTGTTTCCCTGGGTGTGCAGTGGATAGTCATCTGTGTTGAATTCTGTTTCCTTGTGATTCTGACACGTGGCCAGCTTTGGAGTCCTGGAGCTTGGATGTTGGGCATTTTACCCTTCCCGTGCTGCATGGCTAACTTTTTACACAGTGAACCAGAGCTCAAGGGAGGCACTTTTCTTCCTTAATTCAAACGTGACAGAGGCCCCATTAAGCACTTCCAACCCTGATCCCGGAAATGTGCAAAGGAAGGAAGGCGGGCTGTGTTCAGGACTTGGGCCTCCGGCCACTGGGGAGCCCTTAGTGCAGACCTTTTGCCAGGACCCATTTCCCTGAGCCACTGCACTGGTGAGGTGGCTGTCTGTGGTCAGCTGATGGTGGGAGCCAGACTGCAGGACTGGGCTGTTGACCCTCAGGTGGAGCTGGAGCGAGCCAAGACGCAGCTGATGTCCATGCTCATGATGAACCTGGAGTCCAGGCCTGTGATTTTTGAGGACGTGGGGAGGCAGGTGTTGGCAACCCGTTCCAGAAAGCTGCCCCATGAGCTGTGCGCACTTATCCGTGAGTACTGTGCTTGCAGCCCAGGGCTGGACTGCGTGTGCAGTCAGCAACTCTAATTGTGGCCTTTTGTGGCTCTGTGGAAGGTGGCAGGTGTCTTGGCCTAGGTTTCCATGGCCTCCCATGAGTAACATTCAGGAGGTCTTTGAGCTTCCTCCGATGTGTGCCAAATTTTATTTGCTTGTGAGTCTTTGGGGGGCAGGTTTCTTTTAGTTTCATTAGATTCCCAAGGGGTCTGTGACCCCAGAGGGTCAGCACTATTTCTGTTGTGAGGTGAGTCACCTGGTGTGAAGCTGGTAGTTTTGTAGTGTCCCCTTGGGGCTTGGGGTGCTGTGGGGGACCCCCATCCCTCCTTAGGGAACCCCCAGACCCTCGAGTATGACAGTGCTTAATCTCCCTATGGCCGCGTCTTCTGTAGCAAAGCAAACACTACTGAGTGCGTTGCCAGGGGTGTGGGTTTCTGGCTTCCCTGCCCAAGGCCAGTGTGCAGCCCTCAGCCCTCGTTCCCCCTCCCCTTCTGGCCATGCACTCAGGGTGGTTTTTCCTTCTCTGCTGACCCTACTCTTTTTTACTTAACTCCTGTTGGGGTGGACATGTCCAGATGATTTTGAAAACCATCTTAAGCCATGGACACTTCCCCATTCACTAAGGAAAACTCATTTCAGTCCTTCTGTCCTGACTCACCATGCTGTCTACACACGGCAGCACCGGGACCAGACGGACCCTCTGGAGTCCTCAGCACATCCTCCCCCGGGTGGTAATGGCGGCAGATTAGCCCCCTGGGGTTCCCTCGGGAGGAACCTGGATATACAGAATGGTGGGTGCATCAGGCCTTCCCTGTCCTTTGTTCCCTGTGCCAGGCAACGTGAAGCCAGAGGACATTAAGAGAGTTGCTTCTAAAATGCTTCGCGGGAAGCCAGCAGTGGCTGCCTTGGGTGACCTGAGTGACCTGCCAACCTACGAGCACATCCAGGCAGCGCTGTCCAGCAGAGATGGGCGCCTACCCAGGACCTACCGGCTCTTCCGGTAGACGGATGAGGGTGTGTTTACACACACATTTCTTTGGAGATCAGTTTAGTGCAAAAACTCAAGAGTGATGCAAGCCACAGGATGCTTCTCCTCAATGTGAATGCACAAGTTTAATATCGCTGAGCACAGCTCGGCTTCTTCCTCAGAACTGAACATGCAGCCCTTGAATAAACATTTGCCTTTAGCACTCCACTCAGAAAGTGAAGTGCAGAGAGGCTCCAAGCAGCAGCTACAGTAAAACCAGGTTAGCGTGCACACCTCTCGTCTGTGAGTTTCAGCAGGTAGGGCCACTGTGAGGTCACAAGTCTAGTGGTCAGGGCGGGTAAATGCCGCACCATCGCATCACCGAGGATAGTGGGCCGTCAGCCCTGCTTGGTTTCTTGAGGGGCCTGTCACCCACCTGAGCTGCCACTTCCTGTGCTGGTCACTAAGCACCTTGTTGGTGCCAGGGCAAGGCCAGAGCACATGGTCTGCTTCACAGGGCACAGTGGACCTGGCAATGGACTGTTCAGCTCAGGAGTTCAGCTGCCACTGAATGTGTGTTAAGACTGGACAGAGCTCACAAATATGATAAATTGTGCCTGTTGTCCACCCTTGATTTAGGACAGGATTGTTAAAGACCTGTCTCAACTGGCAAGTCTTCTAAAACAGGACGCATGGAGGCAGCCAGTCACTTTTCTCCCTGAGAATCCCGTTTGACCCAGTGTTGCCAAGCCTCTTGCTCTGTAATTGAAAGATGGGTTGATTTCAGAGGTGTCAGGTCACATGGGGTGGGAGGGGGCTTCTTAGAATTGGGGTTTGGTGATCACGTGTTAAAAGGTGGGAAGACTCAGGAGCTGTAGGTTCAGGAGAAGTGAAAGCACATGACTTTGGTGACAGGATAGATTTGTGATTCTCAAGCACCCATAGAAGCCCCAGGTTCCATGTGGGAGGGCCTGGGAACCTCCCGGNTTGGTGACAGGATAGATTTGTGATTCTCAAACACCCATAGAAGCCCCAGGTTCCATGTGGGAGGGCCTGGGAACCTCCCGGACCCTGTGGCATTGCACAGGGTACTGGAGGAGGGGGGGGGGTCTCCACATCATTTTTTCTGCGACCCTGGGAAGCCCAGCCTCTGCAGTACAGGTGGGGTGAGGGGGTTAGGAGTCAAATAAACGTTTACATGTTACTTCTGTAATCAGATTATTTTGCCAGAGCCTGTCAGATGCCTTTACAACACCCCAGGGTAGGCGACTGCTCTGCCTTGGTGGAGAATGTCAGCTCTACCGCCCTCCTTATGCTGGCCCACACTGGGTGGGAACCTGGGGAGTTGGGTGCTGTTAGTCCAACCGTGGACTTTCTATTGTTAGACTCCCCTGCAGTTATCACACTGGGAAAAGTACCTGGCAATGGACTGGTCAGCTCAGGAGTTCAGCTGCCACTAAATGTGCCTTAAGACCAGACAGCTCACAAAAAACGTGAGGTGGATGAATCTCATCATCTGTCAGAGATACTGTAGGGCTGGAGTTGGACTTTTAATGCCCTGACATCTTTACAAACATTCTAGAAACTTGCTAATCAGACAGGTGTCTGTTTTGGAAGCTGGCCATAAGTTTTGTTTGCATGCTGGGCTTCCCTGCTCCCTTCAGGGCCCTGGGCACTTTGTTCCCTCAGTGGGGACCATCCTCTCCCTGCCCTGGACATCACTGTGCTCGCCGCTCCTCCACCACCTTTTCAGCTCCCAACCCATTTCACAGCATAGCACTCCTGTACTCCATTGTCCCGTCCGCTTGCCCCCGTTAGTCAGCACCATGCTTCCCGGGACCAGTGGGCTGGCTGTCACCCTGCTGATGAGGCAGCAGCACAGCCTGTCAGGGTGAGAGGCAGGCTTCTGAAACCGCCCTCACATGGTCCCCTCTCAGTTCTTTATGAAGCTGCTTTTCCAGGGACTGGCCACTTTTATCTGCATTAATTTGAATTTTTAAGTTTCCCAGTGAAATTCCATCCATCTCAAACCTAATGGCTGGTGGTAAGTCACTTAATTTTTGATCTGTGATCTTACCAGATGTCTGTAATGATCACCTCAGAGACAAGGCCTGGTCTCTGGCCAAACTGATATTTTCAGAGTCATTGTTAAAGTCTTTTCCATGGTTTGGGTCAGACAATGCCTAGAAAGAACCATAAAATTGTAATTATTTCAGTCCCCATTGTGGCAAAAACCTCTTAAGATTTTCAGTTAATTTGAAACTCCACAGCACATTCATTTCAGCAGAATTTTATACAGCCTGAATAATCTCTTGAGATGAGATGGGATTGGCTGTGCCTTCTCAATGGAATTTCTCCATTTTTCTCAGAAGATTGCGTGTGCACTGCTTTTTAAAGCTTGTTTTGGAGGCTGATGCTGATGGGAGTTGGATATACTATTTGTTGAAACTGGTTTCATTATGATTCACTCACATCTGAAGTATTCACTTTCTAGCTAACATGTCAGGGTAGTGGATGGGGATGTAGACAGGATGTGGATGGGACACATGGACGGGGCATGGAGCAAACCCAGCAAGAGGTGAATGGGGACTGCTGCTGGCCAAGAGTTGAGAACAAATCTGCCTTTTCTTACAAGAACATTGAGAACAGAGCCTGCATACAAGTTCTTTCTAAGACTCACACTTTGGCCAGAAAAGTTAAAGATTTAATATATGCATTTATTTAAAAATATAAATATGGAAAAATAAATAATTGAAAAGACTGGATTGAATGCCCCTAGGTTTTCCTGCATTCAAAGCCTGCTCATTTTTTAAGAGATGGGATTAGACAGGAATGGTCTCTAAACACCTTGAGAGAAAAACTCAGATGTGGCAGG